ATATCCCTTTAATTTCAAGTATACTTCAAATATTTACAGTTTCTGCCTAATTGCCGTTTACTTCCCAAAATCTTCAATCACCCTTTTTAACCCAGGTAACTAAAGGATTTCATGTGTATCATCTTCTGGACTCTAGTGGATTCTTGCTTCTTAGCGTGAGGCATTGACTTGCTTTTCTTGCCTCCAAACTCACTTTTCCTTTTTCTTTGCAGGGATTTAACAACACAAAAGCTGTTACACTGGAAGCTTCATTCACCCCAGACTCTCAGTTTATAATGATTGGTAAGAGAGCCACACTCCTTTAACTGTGGAACACCAAGTTTGAAAAGTAATTTCAGTGTCACTTCCAATGCAGCCTATGGCCTGAAAAGATTTCTGCCCTTCTTGGGTGTATCTGGCTGTTTTGTATATATTGGCTGTGCCATCAGTTGAAAATCAGTTGGGTTGCTTAATTAATTGGTCTCCTGTTGGTGCTTCATACTAATATTGCATAATCCAATTTACAGGATCAGAGGATGGGAAGATCCACGTCTGGAATGGAGAGACTGGAATGAAAGTAGCAGTGCTAGATGGGAAGCACACAGGCCCTATTACCTGTTTACAGTTCAACCCAAGATTTATGACCTTTGCCAGTGCATGCTCCAATATGGTAAGGAGACAATAGGTTTCTACAGAACCCCAGCCAAATTGAATATGTGCATGCTTCGGACAACTCCTTATGGGTGTTTGAAAGTGAGAATGGCTTTTTGTAGGGATGAGGACCTTGTCAAAGCAGAGTTGATTGCAGAGAAATCTACTTGCATTCAAGCCCCCTGCAGGGGAAGGTCAGGGACCCTGTGTGTGCATACGATGCTGTGAGAACATGGGGGTGAGGCTTGTGTGTGCACTCCTGTCCCCTTAACATACTTACAGAACAGTGCACTTCTAAATGCACATGGACTATGTAAGCAGGAAGTATAAACTCAATTTATATTGAACAGTTCTTTGTAATTAGAAAATTGGCAGACATACTAGAATCACACTGATTTTGTTTCTTCTTTCAGGCCTTTTGGTTACCCACTATAGATGACTAATTCCGGATTCATCTTTTCCATTGGACAGTTTTCAAATTGTACTGACAGCAATGTATTTGTGAAGACTGTAATAGAAGTACTGGGATTACATCGCAGACTTGAATGCTCCCATGCAGCACATCCTATTTATATTTTGGTATGCCAGGCTCTTTGCTGCATCCCTTCAAAAGGATATTTTCATTTGGCTGCGCACCTACCAGTTCAGGAACTTGAGATCCTAGCAAGTATCGTCCCGAATTGTAGCAGAGCTTTGGTTTCATATTGGCACAGCAAATACATGTTGATACATCAGTCCCTTTTGTTTTTAAGTGAGGGTCATCAATTGTAAGCTCCTAGGATTCTGGGCTTGTTGAAAAACAAACTTTCCAGAATGTTTTCTCTGTTCTGAAATATCAACAGTAAATACACTCTGCACTCCTTAAGTGCTTCTTTGTGCCACATAAATCTTTGTGCCATATATACAGCAACTACCCCGTTCTTGGAGAAAGCTTCTTGTGCTACTAATACTCCCATGAGACTATAGACATTTTGGATTCCTTGACATGGCACTGTCAAGGACATGCAGGGACTTGGAGTGGATGATCCTAAGCAATAAAGAAGTTTTCAGCTGTAAAATGCATTTAAAAACAGACTGGATGGAAATGCATTCTCTGTACCCCTTCTTTCAGTGTAATTGCAACTGATTATGTAAATATGGGGAGGGGGTGGATGGAGCATATTTTTTTACTTTTAGATATTAAAAAGTAACATTTGGACCAATACAGTATTGTGGAATTAGTCTTGGTTCTTCACCTGCCTTTCACACATCAGTCTTCCTGTTCTCCATACTTCCATTCCATTCCTCCAAGGCTAGGCACAGCTTGTACTGCCCCCTTCCCTAAATATTTCCACCCATTGTGAATGGGGTCATTCTGTTGGTGCAAATTTAATTAACTAACTCTGTCAAACTAACTTGATGGGACTGCAGAATTTCCAGTTTGTTTCCAGCTTGTTTGCTTTCTTGGCCTGTGAGTCCTTTTGCTGAAGAATGAAGGGGCATGTAAGTAAGCATGTCATGTGGCAACAGGAAATGAAATCAAGGTCAGCTGTTCTATTATAGTGATGTGCATCTGGGCCTACTGCTTTGTAGCCTTCACTGCCAAGTACTTAAAACTACTAGCCTGCACATTTCAATAATTATCATCCAAGTAAGCACAATTTCAGTGCTTCATTCTCTAGTGGTTTTGAACTCTCATGAAACCCTCACTCTTAAAGCCACTAGCATTTTGATACGGAACCGTGTTTCCTTTGGCTATGTCCTGGCTTTGCTAAGTGTTGTTCACACCTTTGGAGAACTTTCCTCTGCATTTAGAACATGCTCTGGTGGTACATGTTACAGTACTGCATCCCAGGCATTCTCTAAATCCTCCACAAAGAGCTGCTGTGCAGGAGCCGTGCTGAGGAATGTAACATTTTAAGTTTGAGCTGCTGGGGTAGATAACTCCAATTGCCTTATTAACTAAATTGTATGGGTTTTTGTTGTGTTTGTTTCCAGCGGTTGTTCACTCTGCAGAGATAATCGCTGGATCTCTCCTGAGCCTGCCAAAGTTCAATGATGCAGGTAGCCGCAGCTCAGGGATTTGCCTCAACTGCATCAGCATGCAACCTCCTGGCTTCTTCTGTTTTAATTCACAGCATGGCAGCACTAGCAGGACTGTCAAATGCAGTGTTGAGACCCAGGGGCAGCACTATTACATCAATTATGTTCATTGGCATGGTGCTGCACTGAGCTGCATGCTTTTTTCTACGAGCAGTTAATTTTTTAAATCGTAAAATCTTGCCCACTCTGCTACAAAAAGAGAAGTCAATGAGTGCTTTACTTTTTACCTTGAGTAATCTGCTACTCTACTGAAGCTGGTTCTCAGTAGGCAGTGGAGTGTATGTGTACTTCGTACTGCGTTTACTTTTGCCGGGAGCTAGTTTTGATCAAACCATTTTTTTAAGAAAAGCACTGTTTGCAAATGAACTCATATTTGTTAACTGTATTATGTATCCTAAGTTACATGTTGCATTTTGTAAACCTGTATTTGCAGACTTTACAGATACGTTAAAGTCAAGAATAAATTGCAGTATTAGACAAAAGGAGCACTGCTGTCCTCTATTAACTTTGCCACGTAGCGTTCCCACCATGTATGTAATGGATGTTTCCTGGCTACAGTATTTCTTCACTCTTGAACATACTGTATCCTTCCAACAAAGTGTGCAAGTCATCAATTTTTCCAGAGTTACCGAAGCTAAAATAGACGCATCTTCTGAAGCAGTTGCTAGATGTTAAGATAGATAAACATTTTATGAAATCTACTACACTGCCAGCAGGTAAGATTCTAAGGCCTGTTCAGCTTTGAAAGTGACCCTCAAACCTCTTAACATTTTTTTTTTAAACATAGGTTTATTGGCCCTAAATGTTTTACAGCAAGGAGGGGGAACCTTATCCCTGGGTGACCAAATGTGGCCTTCTAGTTCACACAACTTCACTAGAGTCCAGCCCCCACCATTTTCCCAAGTGATTTTGTCTGTCTGCAATGTGTTCTTGATCTGTCTTGCCTAGATGGAAGACTGAGGGTTGTGCAGCTAATAAAAACCTGACTGCAATGTAGAATAATATATAAAGGGAAGAGTCACAACTGCTGCTCTGACCTATTTAAAACCCCCATAAAGTTGCCCATGAGTGAATGTGGCCCACCTGTTTGCAGATAGAGAAAAGGGAACACTGTTGGTCAAACAATTCTGGGCAAAAACTTGGGTAATTTGTTTCTGCTTCTATTCTATAAAAATACATGTTTGGTTTTAGACTTTTATAGCATGTAGGTGTATGGTAGACAACGTGTTCAGCTTTAATAATACGCATGCCTGTTTGCTTACTCTTCCATCTGGACTCATTTTTTTAAAATATCTGTTAAGTCTGAAGCAAAAGTGGTTCCATATGCAAGCTACTGTCTTGGTGCTTACAACTTACTCACTTTTAACTCTCAGCTTCATAGCTCTATAGAGTATTGCCCATTTCAAAATAGATAAATGAGGATGCATTAGGAATTATAGTTTTAATCAAAGATTGAACTTCACTGGGTATGTGAGCTAAGGCTGCAGTCTCATGCAGAAACAAATCCCATTAAAACCTGACTGGCTTGTCTAACAAGGAACAGAATGTGTGTAAAGTTGTCATGAAATGCTAAATACAGTGTTTGTACAAAAATATATTGTAGGTTGATTTTACTGTTAAACCATGTATGCTGTTTGAAGAGAAACTATTGTACCTGTAGCAGACAAGACTGTGATCATCTCCTTCTGCCCCCTTCAGTTTTCCTTTTCTAAATGGCACTCAAAATTGTAGGGTTTTAGAAGCTACTGAGTAGTTTGAATCCTCATTGGCCCATATTGATGGTTTGTTATTTTTAAAATAATGTTCTGTCTTCTAGGTATGCTGGTAAGAGGGGAGGTAGCAATATGCTTTAGTTAACCTGAGGGTAGTCAAGCTTTTTATACCTACTGCCCACTGATGCATCTTGCTTGATGGAAGGAGGATTCAGCTTGTGCTGTAGAACCCCCTACCACCCTAGAATCCTGAAACGCCCACTAGCGAGCAGTAGGGACCAGGTTGACAACCCCTGGGTTAACCTATCTGGCTTGGGTTTGCATTGAGATGGATGTGCAATGAAGAATTGTTCTGAGGCATAGTCAGGATGTTGCACGTTACCATAGCAGCCCCATCCCATGTTAGCTAGGGCCGTTTCATACTCAAAACATATTAAAGTTTCTGATGGAAAATCCATTTACCACCAATGGAAAAAGCAGGATGCAATCGTATGAGACTATCTTATGAGAAAGGCCAGCTGATTCTGTTTATCTCTTTGTTAAAACAGAAATAATTAAATACATTATGCAGTTAGATGGATTCTCAATTTGGTGTTTTTTATGCTGAGTTTTACTGCAGGGTATATCTGTCAACTTGAATAAAGTTGTACCATTTATTTTAAAATAAAAACTAGATGTTTTATTGCATTTAAAAATAACCATGTTTAAGTCACAACAATATACAAAATTATAAACAAAATACAAGCTTGTCTGACCTAAAAACAATTTTTTTTATAAAAAAAGTGCTCACCACGTACCAGTACCTCAGCTTCAGCTTGAAGTTTTGAGGCGAAACTTGGTAAACACTGTATTTAATACAGATTCCATTAAAAGACTGGGCAAACCCCTGTACAGAATTATTGCATGAAAAGCACTGGGACTTTCAGTTAGTGGTTTGTGGTCATGTTTTCAGTGTATTGATGTAGCTTAACATCTTGCTGTAACTTCTGTGAGCCATGATAGAAGCTGTTTAGCTTGGTACATTTTGTAAGATATACAAAGTTGCTGCTAAAATCCCATTTAAGAATAAAATGGATTAAGTTCACATTAGTGGCAGCAGGCCATTTCTTTGATACTAATGCTATTGCAAAAGAAAGTCCAGAGGGAAGCTTCCATCTTGCTCCACTTACTGAGTTAGAAAAGCTTCTTTAAGGAAGTGGGACTTTACAGCTGCCCCAAGGGAATGACACCAAAACTGTACAAGTTGCGTTTTCTGCATTTGCTTTCCAATGACAGTGAAAAGTTGTTGTTTTTCCACACAGCAGCTGGAAATGGTGTCACTAATAGCAATAATACCATCATACCATAATTAACTTGCTCAGTAGTCATGGGGTGTTCAGAACTGTGTTTGTAATTCCACTGTTGTACAGTGGAATCGCAAACACAGAAATGTCATCATAAGAAGCAGGCCTGTTACTGCCCATAGTCCAGTAGTATCCATCCTTCTTTCCCCTTGCTTTCTGCACCAGGCACTTGGCTAGTTCTGTAAACCTATAAAAACAAACAATTACTTTGTTATCTCCCAAAGCAGTGATTACCAATGCTAAAGACAGGTGAAGGATGAACTACAGTACTTAAGGCACTGAGAGTTTGGTTTACTGTTCTGGTACTGCTGCCCACACACTACAGTGGAAGCAAACCGCTTCAGCACCCAATTTGAGACTTGAGTACTGCCAACAGCTCTGGTAAACTAATTCTCTAGCAAAGCAATCTCAGCTAAATGTAAAAGGAATAGAATTTTGTCAGAGTAACTCTAAGAAGATAAGAAAAAGGTGTTGGTTCAGGCTAGTGGTCCATCTAGTCCAGCATCTTGTTCTCTCAGTGTCCAACCAAATGACTGGGAAGGCTACAAGCCGGACAGGAGTACAACACTTGTCTGCCCACCAGCAATTCCTAACAATTTTGAAGATTTAAGACCACACAGGTTAGCTTCTTGTTGCCTTTACCTCTGCTTAAAATGCTTCTCTGTACATCAGTATCAGTTACAGAGAACTTCATTAAGTATGGAAAATGTTCAAAATGTTTGAAAACCAAACCTCTGCTTCTGATTGGCTGCAGGAAGCAGGACGTTCAGCTTCCAAAAATAGTTCACAAACCGGAACAGTCACTTCCGGGTTTGCAACGTTCGGGAACCAAAACGTTCTGGAGCTGTTTGAAAACCAGGGCACAACTGTATAGGTGATCAAGATAACTCAGCCTGAGAAAAAAAACTCCCTCACAGTAAACATGCCTGGGGGGTTGGGTAGAGGCACCCACATGGTCTCTTATACACATAGAACATACACCTCACAGAGACTTCATTTTTCAGTGTGCAAAGATGAGCTAGCCACTGCTTCATTCTCATGCAGCTATTTCCTGAACAGCTGAGCGATGAGGAAGATTGTGGGGAGGTTTCTCTATGCTCCCCACATCTTTTCATCACACAGCTGACTGCAGTTCCTGGTAGGAGGAGCTTGAGAAAAGAGGCTTTGTGGGACAGATCTGGCCCACGGACTGCTATTTCCCTACCACTGCTGTGCCAGAACACATGTCAACATAAGCAAAAGCAGAGGTGTGCATATTCAAATATTTTCCAGTGTGTTTCATTCCCCAATTTTTAGCACAAAAGCTCTTCAAATATTTTAAGTTTGTCAAGGCACCTACAAAATTGGTATTGTCAATGCAAAGAATGTGTGTTAAGAAATCAAGACTCGTGGCTTCCATATTGGCTAAAACTGCTAACATACCTGTATGGGTCAGATGTGTTCTCCTGGACAAAATTCCTGACAATATGAGCCACGTCGTCATTGGACATAACATCCCAAAGGCCATCAGTTGCCATGATGAGGACATCGCCTTCCTTGATGTTTTGTTTGGCAAAGTCTAATACTTCAACCTAGTCAGAATTGACGAAAAGATGCAAGCTTTCTTAACTGCTATCCCCAAACAGCTGGATGTTCACAGTCTCCCTAGAGAATGGTTTAAATGAAGAGCCTGGAGTCCAGCAACTTGTGCATGGCCATGGCTCTGCCACGCATGCTTTAAATACATGCCACTATAATAAGGGCATACAAGACAAGGCCTGCTAGATGGGACCAAAGGCTATCTTCTAGCACAGCATTATTTTTTTTCTAATGGGGGGAGCCTGATGTTCCTGAGAAACTTAGATGCATAGTATGGAGGCAATAGCTCTCCCCTGTTGACAAACACATCAGTAGACCCTCAAAGTCAGTATACACATGCATGTCTAATTGGGTTCCTAATGACGAGCTACCCATTCTGTTTAGGGCTGCAGCATTATATGGACCTACGTTTTTTGGGGTGGTTTTTAAAAAAAATATACTAGAAATAGTGACAAAGCTGTATTATCTTTCCCTGAAGATATTCAGAGGACCCAGAAAGGGGAAGGAAGCTGAACTACAATGGTAAACCCATGGCTGAAAAGACTTCGTGTGTCCTATCAATCTCCTACCTTTGGAATGCAGGACAGGAAAGGCTTGATTTCAATGTCTGTTTCAATAACTCTCAACTGATGATCTCCCAGGCCTCGTGAAACAGCCAGGGTGCCTAGCAAGCGAGCCTAAAAAGGATGAGGCAACAAGGAGTGGAAGAGAGTCACAAGCATAAAGCCAGTGGTAATTTCAAGTAGAAGTTATTTAAAACATTCATCTTTTCAATGTAATATTCACAACAGATCACCATACACGTTTAAACACAAAGAACAATGTAATTAAATCTAAAAAAACCGCAATGTTTCCAGCAGCAGCACATTTCTCAAGAGCCACATAAAAGCCATTAAGCATCAAGAGCTTGGGAATGCAATTTTGTTTTTATCTGGTCCCTAAAGATAATCATACTTGACAACATGTAAGCTGACAAGGGGAAGTTTCATAGTGGAGGCACCACTAACAAGGTGGCTCCACACTGTTGGTATGTATGCAGCTGTGCAATATTTTACATGTTGAGCATGGTTCCAGCTATGGAAAGGCAGCATACAACTAAAATTTATGTATGTATGTATGCATGCATAAAGAACAGTATAGAAAGGACGCACTGGCTCTTCCCGCCCCCCCCCTTTTTTTTGCTTGCAAGGGCCCTGCAGGCACACCTGTTTTCCATGTCCATGGATAAGAGGATACTTGAGGTCATCTTTTGCTACCGTCTTGTATCCCCTGAAACGAGAAAGGTCATTTTTGCAGTCCTTCTGTCATAGCATAGCCACAATCCAATATGAAGATAAACACGTTAAAACGTACTAAATGTAAAACATATTACTCCGTGGCTGCAGTCTTTGTATATAAATGTCCCTTTAATGCAGACATTTTAACTTTTCTACTAACTGCTGTACTCCGTTACACAAGGAGGTTCGCAAGGTTGTACGTGAAGCCTGTAGCACAGCTAAGAAAGTAATCAGTGACGTCAATCCCAAAGCCATTTCAGAGCACAGGCCTAACAGGTGGGTGGATTCAGAATTGCAGCTCAGATCTCCAGAAAGCACAGAACTGCAGCATTGGAAGGGCTCATCTAGTCCAACCCTCTGCAATGCAGAGATAATGCAGTTGTCCCATACAGAGATCAAACCTGCGACCCTGGCATTATCAGCCCCATACTCTAACCAGAAGCCAGACTACCATTAATTAACACCATTATTGAGCTGCTTCCATCTCACATTTATGTTAAAAAAACAGCTGCACATTACTGATGGGTTCTTGGGAGCAAGCTTAGGCTGACAGGGGGGCTTTTCTTCAATCCTTTGAGGGATTGAGAGACCAGAGCAGTGAGACAACCACTGTATCTCAGAATCTGATGTTGTCTCCTCTTGAAAGCCAAACACCTTTCCCTCCTAAAATGTAAGCCAGGCATAGGCATACTTGACCCTCCAGATGTTTTGGGACTACAACTCCCATGATCCCTAGCTAACAGGACCAGTGGTCAGGGATGATGGGAAATGTAGTCCCAAAACATCTGGAGGGCTGAGTTTGCCTGTGCCTGATGTAAGCCATCCTGCTGCCAGGTTAAGAAAATAGCGTGGCTGAAGCAGATAGGCAACTAGAGACCAATAAGGGGAGAGAGAGATGAAGGGCTGCCATGCAGAAAACGGTGGCTGGTACTTTGCTGCTCCAAAGGGCAAATGTAGATTAAGTGTAGGACTAGAGAGTGTAAACAGCAAGGAAGCAGATTTTCAGCTAAAGACTAGAACAATCTTCCTAACAACTAGAGCTGTTTGACAGCAAAACAGATTGCCTTGGGAGATTGTAGATGCATTTAAGCAGGGGCTGGGTGGCTGTCAGTGTTACAGGAGCATCCTGCATTGAGCAGAGTGATGGCCTCCAATGTCCTTTCCAACCCAATTCCACCACACAAACACTGCTCATCCAGGGCATCCTCTTATCCAAGCCAAGAGAGGCTTGAGTGACTCACCAGCCTTCCATTGAGTAATCTCGATAAAGGACCTTCTGGCCCACATCATCTCCTCTCAATCTCCTTGGAAACTCAAACCGTATGAATTCATCTGCCAGAAGCTCTGGGTACATGAAAGCCTGAGAAGAAAAAGAACATTCAAAAATACTTAAAATGGAAGCATCATTTTCAGGGGAATATGGGAGAGAAAGTGGGAAAACCTGTGTTGCGTATTCTGCCATTGCTAAGTCCCTAATTATCAGTGGCATAATACTCTATTTCTATGGAGAATGGGAATAAAAATCCTTAAATCACTGGTAGAATATTCTAATTTCAAAATTAAAACTAGGGTCCCAAAACCATAAAAGCAACAGGAATGATATTTGCAGGGAAACCTGTTTCCTTACAGAAATTGCTCCTCACTGGATATGAATAAAGGTCTGGTAAATCACCACTGTTTGTGCAGTCTAATTAACATTATTCTGAATGGCAGATTATAGATCTATTCTATATAAGGCTATACTCAGACACTTAGTACTTCATACCACTTCAGTGCAACACAAAGCAAGAGTAGTAGTGATATCTCAGAATGAATCTACTCTGCTGTTCAGAATGACCCTACCACTCATGAGAGATGGGTAGTGCAAGACAGACATGTTGCCATTAGAGAATATGCAGAAAGGTGTGTGTTTTTCTTACCAGGTGTTGGATTCTCTGCCTCTCTGTTTCTGGAGTGAATTCAGTACTCAGGGGGACAATGCTTTGTTTTCGAACAAGGAGTGCCCTAAATAAAATAATATAAAAACTGAGGTTAACTCTTTCAAGTGGATTTCTCTCATTACATTTTTCAGACATAGGAATAAGTTGACAGATGTATGTGATTGTTGCTATACAACCAGCTTCTTTAGTAAGACAGGAGGTGGGGAAGAAGATCCTTTTTGGGCCAGCCCAAGAATTCAAGATGTGTATGCCACCACCCTACAAGTATACATTTGAAACACCTTTCATCAATATTCAAAATAATACAACAAAGAGACTATTTCTCCACAAGCTATGCCTGAAGAGTGGCAAGAAGTTAATCCATAAGACAGCTGTCAGCTGTCCCAACACTCTGCTCCTGAAGGCAAAAAGTGAAATTTCAATTTAGGTTCAGAACAAAAAGCATGCTCACAGCATCTTTATATTTTTCCAAGGAAAAACAGCCACACAGGACCTCCATTCAGATCAGGACTTCTAAATTCTGGGAGGAGAGATTTAACCCTTTTCTCACTACACCAGTTTACCATTGAAAATCAACGCAAAACACACACACACCTGTTTCCACGCAAAGGTTCAAACAGGAAACAGGGAAGGGATTTTCATTAGGAAGCTGATGTAGGGAGGAAAGAGTTAAACACCATTCCTGACCCTGATTAAGGCCTCCAGCAGCTGCTTTTTTCCGATTTTAACAAGCATGCTTAATGTAATATATTCAACACTTAACAAAACATCTAATTTTGTTAAACAGAGAAAACATTAACATTAACTGAGTATCTTTCTTACTCAAGAGACATGAAGAATCCTGCTATATAACTAGGCTAAAAGGACAATGTTGGGTCTCATCCTAGGTTGCATTTGGATGTGAACTCACCTGCTGTCACCTGCGTTTGCCACATAGAGCTTTCCCTGCAAGTAAAGTGCAGCTAGTGCAGTACAACCTCCTGATTGGCCAGTAGCTTCCATCTCTTGACCAATTACATCATCCTGTTGGGGAAAAACATAATCTGATGATGCAAAGCAGGTGCCGTATTTCTCAGCAAAGTCTGAAATCTAACTTTAAGACCACTGTTAGATAACTTAATCATCTGGACACTCAAGTCAGTTCAAACAAACACATGCCACTTTCTTTTCGTGCGAATATGTTTTCACATACAGTGGTACCTCGGGATAAGTACTTAATTCGTTCTGGAGGTCCGTTCTTAACCTGAAACTGTTCTTAACCTGAAGCACCACTTTAGCTAATGGGGCCTCCCGCTGCTGCCGTGCCACCGGAGCACGATTTCTGCTCTCATCCTGAAGCAAAGTTCTTAACCTGAAGCACTATTTCTGGGTTAGCGGAGTCTGTAACCTGAAGCGTATGTAACCTGAGGTACCACTGTACATGATCATGCAGCAAACGTTTCTTGTGAATTGGCAGCTTACATGGGAACAGATATGTCATAGTAAACTTTATATACCAAGCAGAAATGCATAGGGTACTAAGTCTGCATCGGCACAACATTTGACAATGAGTCATGGAATAAACAGCCTCATCAGCAGAAACTTCCAAGGGCTGAGGCAGCTGGTTTGCCTGGCTGTGAAAACAACAGGATCTTGAGCAAGATTTGCACCAACGGCCATCTGTGACATAAGGAGCCTTAACCCTCTGAGAGACAAGAAAGGGGGAAACAAGGTCACTCACACATTCCTGGAAGGCCTTCTCCAGTGCTCCAATTACCACATCCTCCTGCCGAATTTGTTTTTCTTCCACGAACTGTGGGTCACTTTGGCAAACGCACTGCCCACTGAGGTGCATCGGGGGACGGTCTTGAGTGATGCCTTCCACCACATCCTCCAATTTCTGCTTGATGCAACAGTGCAAGTAGTTGGAGGCCAAGATAGATGCTTCTGGTCCACCATGACCATCAAACAGTGCCCAGTAGTGGCCAGTCAGATACTGAAAGTCAAAGCATTGAGACTTTTACCATCATTGAGTACACTCTTCCATGCTGTTGCCAGAACATCTGGGGGTGCAGCAGGCTGCATGCTTGCTTTGTATGTGCTGTTTGTTTGCTTTGTATGTGGGAGCCACACTCACAATTCTCACTCACCTGCTTCAGTGTTGTTGTGAGGATTAGAATTATAAACCACTCTATAGTCTGAAAACTGAAGCAGACAGGTGTGTGCTTTCAGGAATCAATTCATATTATTCTAAAACACAACCCTCACATCTGCTTGTTGGGATCTTTGGATACAAATTCATTCACACAAGAGCAAGCATTTCCTCTTTTGCTGTAAGCCACAATTATACAGTGGTACCTCGGGTTAAGAACTTAATTCGTTCTGGAGGTCCGTTCTTAACCTCAAACTGTTCTCAACCTAAGTACCACTTTAGCTAATGGGGCCTCCCGCTGCCACCGCTGTGCGATTTCTGTTCTCACCCTGAAGCAAAGTTCTTAACCCGAGGTACTATTTCTGGGTTAGCAGAGTCTGTAACCTGAAGTGTCTGTAACCCGAGGTACCACTGTACTCCAAAGTGTACCATAGAATCTGCTAGTTCCACAAGGGCATCAGCTGCCCACTCTCTGACGTACAAACTTCCTCTATAGTCCAAGTTTTACTCTGAGCTTTGCTGTTGTTGTTTTCCTTTATCTAAATGGATTTGCCAGGCAGATACAAACCCGCCGCTCATGCCTTTCATGGGATTCTCAGAATGTTGAATGAGGAATTGAAGAACAAACCAAGCCATTCAGCGTATGCCGCAAGAGGAATAGGAAGAAGCCCTAATTGTTTAGAAATACTTGTGCTTCACTCATATTGACCCCACATGACTATGGTCCAGAAATAATTAGCCGACTGAATGGAAGCCAGATAGTTATAAATGGGAGAGAATGTCATACTTGTGAGAGCAAAACAGTTAGCAAAAGCCACTTAAGACAAAGTTAGGAGCTAGATAGACATAGCTGCTACTTTTAATGGGTACTGAACCTGGCAGCTCTCTGCCTGTGAATTGTGAAAAGATCTGCAGTCCAAAGAGGAAAAGAAGAAATACGTTGTCATCGTGACCTTTATCTCTGATCAATGCAAATAAATGACACAACCTCCATTTCCCACAATGTAAGAATGCCTACCATGACATCTGACTGGATGTGAATATAGCATTCTGTAATCACTCAAAATATTACTAGATATAATGATTATGTAAGTACTGTTTCAATTTCTGACTGACAATAGTTAAATTAGCAAGTTGGCCACTATGGAACTGCTCTCTGCCACAGCCTCTTCCTGCTCACTAAACCTTGCCTCTTCAGCTTCTGACACCTCCTCCCCCCAATCTTCTCCCTCTGACCACTCATTGTCGTCCCACCACCAATCCCTGGGTTCTGAGCCTTCTTCCCAACTGGGTTCCCCAGTTGGTGCTGCCCACCTTTCCCTGTTTCCGGCCAGTCCATGACAGCCACTATACCGAATATGGAATCTTCGTAAGTCATCTCAAGATGTTACAAAGTTGGGGACAAATATAACTGCCAAGCAATTAAACTCAAGAACTCTGTATATGTTCAGAGACATTCACCTATAGACTTCATGAAGTTTCAGAACTGAATCAAAACAGGTTCTGCCATAGGCTGAGCCTTGGTAAGTCCTGGCTCTAATTAATCCCTGCTGTAGACGGAAACACTACCTCTGAACTCACCTCAGTAGTGCACAGAATCAGCCACTCCTGGTCCTCTTCTTTGCCATGTTCCCTCTTTCTGATAGAGATATGACAACATGTTGCTTGGTCTTCATTGAATTCTGATTTTTCTGCGTTGATGGTTCTAATGGCACAAGAAACAAAATCACTAGAATAACTGAAGCAATTCCATTTTATTAGGTCCAATGTAACTGAAAACTAGCAATTTTATGGTTGATGACATAATTGACTTCAAATGAGTTTCAAATGACACCCTGCAGGTGCCAAGAGGCTGAGTAGTCTTAGAGCCTAAAAGCAGGATGCAATCTGTTTTATCAGACCTTATAAGATACTGGTGAGTAGGAGAGTACACCCAGATCACCAAGACTGGGAATCTATAGAAATCCAAGCTGCAGGCCTTTAGTTCAGGGCTAGCAAACATAATCCTAGAGCAAGCAAGTGCCACAGTCATTCATAAGGCCTTTGAGAAAACAGTGAGAAGTGGTGTGATAGGAAATACGTACCTGCATATTGCACGTGGTTATGGAGAAGGGGCAGCAGCCCAGCTATGCAGGGAGCAGGTCTCCCTTTACACTTTGGGTCCTCTACGTTTATTCTAAGGGCTCCACGTTTTTTTCTGTAGGTGCTGAACTGGGTGCCTTTCCTGTCGCCTTTCCGCTGTTCCAAGCACAGGGGCAGCGCAAGAATATAATTTAGCCACAGAATCCCCATTAATCCGATTCATTATGGCCCGGGGTGCCTTGAATGATGGTCAGGGGCGCCGCAAGCAACACTGGCCTCTGTCCCTCTTTACTTCCCTCTCATGTCTATGTCTTCATCAGGCTGCTAAGGCTGAGGGCATCCTCTTCCCAGCCCCTGGGGGGCGGCATGAGGAGACACCTCTCTTTGAGGTGGGGGGCATCTCAGAGACCAGGGGCAGTGGTGGAAGCTACCTAGAAGAGGGGAGCGGAGCCTGAGGGAACACTCCATAAGGCTTGGAGTGTGTTTCCCCAGAGAGGAGCCACAGAGCAAATGTAGTTGGTCAAGGGAGCCTTGGACTCAAAAAGGTTGAAAACCTCTGCATTACGGAGATAGTGACTTCGCACAGGAAATGGCTGACGTTCTAAATGTTCTTTCCTCTTTCTGAGCAAAAAGTGTCCTCTTTCAAAAGATATTGCCCCACTGACTGACTCAACATTCACCCACACCAAGAGGCAAGACTTGCTATTTTGCCGTGCTCTTGCAGCAGTGGGTCAACACAGTTTCAACATTAAGTTTATTGATTTATTTTATTAGATTCCTACAACATATTATTTTAACATCACACACACACACAAAAATAATAAAGTATTTCACCCTAGCCCAGAATAAGTTTAGTTTAAGCACTGCACCCAAAATTACACCCAAATAATATAATATTCCTATCTCAGACTACCATTTGTATGGAATGTGATAGAAACTTTATGCCAGGCTTCCTCAAACTCAGCCCTCCAGATGTTTTTGGCCTACAACTCCCATGATCCCTAGCTAGCAGGACCAGTGGTCAGGGATGATGGGAATTGTAGTCACAAAACATCTGGAGGGCCGAGTTTGAGGAAGCCTGCTTTATGCTAACAAAGTTTTATAATGTGATGGGAGTAATCTGTTTTCGTTTTTGGTCATGTACATAATAAAGCTGTATCATGGCCTTTGGCTAATACAATAAACTTATGGAAAAAGATGTACTAATCAGTTGCAAAGGACTCTTTATGCATCAAACTATGTGCCAATTTTATTAGTAATTTTTTTCACAAGTGCTTTTGGGCTTACTTTAGTGTACCAGATGTCAAAGAAGCACCCTCCAAACTCTTCCAGTATCTTATTATTAGGAGTTTGCCCACTAGTAAAAGAGAACTTGTTAGGGTTTCTGAACCGTAAGTTAGCGTTATTTTTCATAAAAAGATATTACAGTCAAACATAACTATGCCTGCTGCTAGTGGTGCATGAAGGGGTAAGAACCACAGAGTTATATTGCTAGACAGACTCAGTTAGGTCATGCCCCTTCTCCTTGCAGAGGAAGTGAAGCCTTTCTCCTTCCTTCCTTCCTTCCTCTCTCTCAGCATCATGTAATAAACCAGAACAGACATGCTTAAACTAGCTCTAAGCGTGGAGCAAGTGTCTGAAGCTATCTTAATGCATTTTGCACCCAATTTAGCATATATTATTCTTGCTGCTGCATGAAACATTGCAGACCTTGAATCGATAAGTAAACATTTTAAACTTACTTAACAGTTTGTGTCTGCTCATTGCAAAAGGGGTGGAAAGAGGTCAGCTATTATGTGCTAATAAAAGGGTTTAACAACCTATATTCCTAATGCTATACTGCTGTGCAACTTTTATGAGTTTAATACTCTGTTACTGGGGGCTTTCTGTGCGCTGACCCCACATTTTGAATCCAGGCACCCAGCCATTTCTTTTTGTTGTTCACCCAAACACATGGGTCCATAGGGATTCGAATATTTAATTTATTCCCACAAAAAGACTGAGCATGTTTAGAGGTGTTTTGTCCAGGAACTGCTTTTATTTCACCAAATATTTCCTCAAAGAACTGAGCCACTCTCCCGCATATCCACCGCATATGTTGAATAAAACCTAACACTGCACATCCTCTCCAACAGCTTGGTGAACAGGAGGAGCTAATATGGCCTAAACATATAGGGAAGAGATATCATTTTTGTAGTATTTTAAGTGCTACCTATTTTGTCCAGGTCAATAAAGATTTTCTGGCACACTGAAGTCCAGTCATATTGATTGACAGTAATAATACAGTCTTTTCCCTGCTCGCTGCATAGCAATTCCCCAAATTGTCTGGAAAGCAGCAGAAACAACTAGAAATTTGTCTGGCCCCAATACATTAAGGAGGTGGGTGGGCTAAAACATTTTCATTTGTTTTGGTCCAATATCACTGAGGCAGCTCCTGCAACAAGGAAGCTCTTGTTTCTATTCCTACAACTACAGTAAGCTCAACATAAGCAACTTGCCTTCTTTCTTTCATGCTGAAAGCAGTTTTTGTCAGTCACATGGTGTTGCTTCTTTATTTTCTGAAAGTGTTTGTTCATATAGAGTTAGAAAATCTGCTGTGTTTGGTGTCCCGTCCCCCCCCCGCCGCCCATTTGAGGATTTGTTGACCTCACAGAATGCAACTCATCTGAAGAGTTCAGTCTGAGGACAGGTTTATAATTTCAACAGGCAGAGAACATAAGATTTCCTGTAGCTTTATGCAAACAAATCATTAAGAAAAAAGAGGCACTTGATACAATGGCCTCAGTTTCAGTTTCAACCTCAAATTCAATGTGTTTTTCTATGTGTAGAGCACTGTTTCTCAACCAGGTGGTAGGGGCATGAGTATTTTTTTAAAGTACATCAAAAGTAAAATATTAACAATCTTAAAATATAAAAACATGAAGTATTATGTTCAGAAGGTGAGAAGATCATATGCAGCGTATTACACGATGTGTACGTCATCATGAATGCACAATAGTTTGGCGTTCTCTCATGACCAGTGCAGTGCACAATATACACAACTGAGCAGTTCACTGTGCATGGTGCAGTTAATTAGTCATGTGTTTATTTGTGCTGTTTATTTCCTTTACTCTTGGAAAACTGAACATTTATTTACTTATTTATTTATTGGGTTCTTTGGAGGAATGGTGGAAGAATATGATATATGATATGATATGATATACAGTCATAAAGGTAAAGTAAAGGTAAAGGTACCCCTGCCCGTACGGGCCAGTCTTGACAGACTCTAGGGTTGTGCGCTCATCTCACTCTATAGGCCGGGAGCCAGCGCTGTCTGGAGACACTTCCGGGTCACGTGGCCAGCGTGACAAGCTGCATCTGGCGAGCCAGCGCAGCACACGGAACGCCGTTTACCTTCCCGCTGGTAAGCGGTCCCTATTTATCTACTCGCACCCGAAGGTGCTTTCGAACTGCTAGATTGGCAGGCGCTGGGACCGAACGACGGGAGCGCACCCCACCGCAGGGATTCGAACCGCCGACCATGCGATCGGCAAGTCCTAGACGCTGAGGTTTTACCCACAGCGCCACCCGCGTCCCCTATACAGTCATACCTTGGGTTGAATGTGCTTCAGGTTGAGCGCTTTCGGGTTGCGCTCCGCGGAGCACGTTACTTCCGGGTTTCGCTGCTCGCGCATGACGTTACATGCATGTGCGGAAGCGTCAAAACGCAACCCGCGCACATGCAGACGCACCATCGCATCTTACATTCTATTCAGGATGCGAACGGGGCTCCGAAACGGATCCCGTTCACATCCCGAGGTACCACTGTAATAATAATATAATATAATATAATATAATATAATATAATATAATATAATAATATAGTAAGTAATAACAACCTCTGAGCAGTTTACAATAACACACCATATGCTACTGCTATTACATAGCAAATATTCCTGAATTAAAGGCAGGTGTGTTGCAACGAGCAAGCAGGAGAACATGGTATTAGTGTCCTTGGAATCTGGCAACCCTGTAAAGAATTTGACCTTTTTCATAAAAGCCAGGGAGTACACTCTTTCGGCACATTCAATGCCCAATATTTCATCAACGGAAACCTCTTCCCCCGCCTTTCTTCGAGTACAGCACTTGCAATCTTCCAATCCGCCCACCCAAAAAAAGGAAGACCATTTCAGCTGGGTATGAGATGGAGAGATCCAGGAAGTGAGTCAGCCCAGATAACTATGACTATTATAGTATTGATCCTAGTTGGCTTTGCTCACTAAACTCCTCCATCTCCTAGTTAGGCCTTGCAGTCTGACCAGCCCAGGAGTCTCTGAGCTTATGCTGTAGCTGAATTAAAATTGAGGGAAGGGTTGCAGAAAGAAATGCTTTTATATTATGTTCAGTAATAGTGGTTATGTACAAGTCAATATTATTAAAATTATCTTCAATAAGAGTCTGTTTCTCTATGGTTCTGGTTTTGTCATAATTTGTTGCATTATAATATTACTGTTTTGCATTTTATATTCAAGAACAAAATAATATAATCTCTTATGCAATGAACACGTTACTGCAAGAATGGATATTCAATATTTGAAAATATACCAGCAGTCCATACTAACATCTGTGCTTCAAAATTTTGCTTTATAATTGAAAATGAGTGGGGATTGGTTTCATAAACCTATCTTCACTGGGCTCTGTGTATCAGATGCCATTTGGGTATTTCAAGCTTTTTATGGTAAGAAAAGCATCCAGAAAACCAAGAAAGTCCCAGTGGTAGGAAAGAATGAGGAAGAAACTCCAGGTGCTTTTAAAAAGCTGGAGTTTCTTACTCTTACTAATAGAACAAGAACTGAGAAAACCCTTCTGTCCTCTCCTGTTGATCTCAGATGACTGTTGAGTGAAATAGGACCTTGCTCTAGAATTTGGATGTGCTCAGACATAGTTCTCTTCAATAGCTTTTATTTAGTCAGGGGATGTAAAAGATTAATCTTCAGGACTTGCACAAATAAAATTGTTAGACTGCTAATGGGCCTTACTTATCATGGCTGTTAAATATATAATTAAGTACCACAGACCACTTTCATTTTTCTTTACAGATTAATATCCAGATTCAATGCTGTGTCCCCCATCTCCTCCATAAATCATAGGTCTTAGTGTTCATTTACAATTGTTGCTGTGATGGGTTTATTTACTGCTGGTGATAAATGGCTACTGGGATGGAAAAGTTTGTTTTGCTGGGCAGGTTGGGTCCCCAAGTGTTTTCTTTTCTTTTCCCTGTGAGCAAACAGTTAACAAATGGCAGCCTCTGATTAGTCAGGGTTCCAGGAGGGGGAGTTGAAAAGGAGAGGGTTTTGAGAGACAGTTTGTAGGTTGGGAGAATAGGGAGTGAGAGGAGAGAGAGTTGGTTCTGGGTAGAAACATCCACTCTGAGGACTATATCACAAGCTAGAGAAAGGAATCTCTGAGCTTAGTGTGAAACACAGTGTGTCCAGAAAGAGGCCAGGAATTAACTGGGAGGCTGAGTCAGGAGAAGTAGAAGCTGTGAGGATTTAGTCTACTTAGGTCTCATTCCAGTCAGGAGGGGAGAGATTCTTCTACAAAAAGAGAAGACTCCCAAACCAGTTAAGAGGGGTGTGGTGATCCCTTGGGTCTGTTACTTGGAGTACCTCAGGAAGTAGGGTTGTCTAAAGGGTGTGTAACTGACAGGAAGTACCACTTTGTTTAAGAACCAAAGAATTAAGCGGCAACAGCTGTGCAACAACTGAAAAAGAACTGAAGTGAAATAGCATTATATTTTGAAGTATCCTATGTTTTACCCACTTGTGTCATAAACTTCCTTTGTTTAATAAAATCTTTATTGTTTATTTGATCAAATCCTGCCTGAGACTCCAAATTATTAAGTTTTCCCTCCCACAAGATAATCTGGGGTAGTTTGTAGGAATTCATGGAATTGGGTATTCTGTGAGGTGGGTACACTATATTTTAAGTGAGGGCGGGCCCAACATGATGTTGCGCCGTCACAGCTACTAGCATGAATGCCCCTTACTAGTACTGTTCCTCTCTCACCTGTAATATGCAAACACTGCATTAAAAGCACATCGCAGTCACACCTCTAAGTTTGCCGAACTTCTAGAATGGACTGTATAAGTACAGAGACTGAGCCAGGGCCAAGGACAAATTCCATCCTAAAGCACAGAGGTCAATTCAGCCAAAGTTAAGCACATGTATGTTCCACTGATTTTACTGGGGAATTAAATCCCTTCAGCTGAACTCAGTAGGACTTCAGGTGCTTCACTTTAGCAGAATCCTGCCCACAAAGTCAAAGCATTAAAATAAGGAGGATGCTTGTAGGCGCTAAGTCACACCATTTAGGTTGTTACTCCCTTATCATGGTCTGTGGTATTACTACATTGGTACAAGAAGGGGGGAGCAAATTGCTTATTTCTCACTTGCCTCCCCCTTCTATCCCTTCTGTACGACAGGATGGATGCTGCTGTCGTCAAAGCACCACTGTGTCAGGAGAAACCAGTCTTGCCACACATTTCCTTGCCATGCAACTATTAAAAGTACAAATGTTCTCTTTGGTAGAAAATCAAGCAATTCAAAGCAGCCCCACATTGCACCATTGTGGTTTACAATCTCTTGCTGTACCACTTACAGCCAGGAACATGCAGGTTATGCTGAGGTGGTTGCTATCTGTACCCACCTTACAGACTGCATTATTGTAACTTGTAATAACCTTACAATATTGCCCAGAACAAAGGCTACAAAATTATGATTTAACCAAAGTGGTCCAGCCCATCACTAACAGTGAGTCGTGGCAAAATAGTGAGAGAGGGACTTGAATCAGGGAACCCAGATGTAAGACTAGGAAAAAAACATTTTAAATTTTCAAAACAGCATCAGATTTCTCGATCTCCTTGATACTACAGGGACAAACAGAAATGTGCGGGCCAGGTCTCACTCTCAGCCAACAGGGGCGTCTGCACACGTGTGCGTGAAAAATAAATGCACTAAACTAGGCAAGCAGGATTATCGTGCCATATTTTTTTTAAGTCCCGGCTTTTTAAGCTCTACGGGGCTGCTGGCTGCTTTTGCACACCTCTAGGCTTAACCTCCAGCTGCTGCCGATTTGGCATGGTAGTCCTCAAGAGGTGTTTGTTTTTTTAAAGTTTATTTTTAAGCCGCCGCTTTGCAAGAGGTATCCCCAAGTCATGCGCCCCGGCCGCCCACTTACTCTGCATAGCCCGCGTTCCACTGGAGGGGCTTGTCTCGCGGCGGGCAGGCGACGGGGCGCTTGCCAGGCTGCCTCTCCCCGGCCGAGGCAGCTCCGCGCAGGAGTTTGGGCCGCCTGTACGGCAAGCGGGGGAGCTGCGGATGTGGCCGTGTGTCTCCTTCCTCCGTTGGCCGCTGCTGCTGCGGAGCGCCTTTCCCTCGGCTCGCCGCGCTCAAGAAGCGCCTCTTGAACCAGTCCGAAGACATGAAGCGAAAGGGACAAGAGATCCGCTCCCTCGCCTCTCCCGAAGCCAACTGAGAAGCCCCGCGCTGCTCCAGTCCCAGGGAGCCGTTCCCGCAGCCAATGGGCGTCGCGCTCGTGACTCACCAGCACGCGGCAGCCAGTCAGCGCGGCGCTGCTCCGCCGGGTGTCACCAGCGCCACCCTTCCTTGGTTTCTACTTCCTTGTTTTTATTTTCTCTCTCCTTTTCTCTGTCTCCGGAGTTATGCTGTTAGGCAGGTGGCTTCCAACATGGGGCACCTCCCACACACCGGGGGCAGTTTGATTTTTAAGGGGGGCAGTTCGAGAATGAATTAGACCAAGTTTAGGCTTCCTCCACCTGAATAGGAGTTCACTTTTTGAATAAGAATTACAGTGGTACCTCGGGTTACAGACGCTTCAGGTTACAGACTCTGCTAACCCAGAAATATTACCTCGGGTTAAGAACTTTGCTTCAGGATGAGAACAGAAATCGTGCAGCAGCGGCAGCAGGAGGCCCCATTAGCTAAAGTGGTGCTTCAGGTTACAAACAGTTTCAGGTTAAGAACAGACCTCCAGAACGAATTAAGTTCTTAACCCGAGGTACCACTGTATATGGGGGGGGGGTCAGGATTTTAGAGATGCTTAGGTGGGGCATGGCCAAAAAAAGGTTGGGAACCACTGCTTTAAACCATTTAAGTAGAGATATATATTTTTTTTAAGACACCTGCTTGATCAGGGAAATGGCCCATCCAGTCCAGCATCCTGTTCTCACAGTAGCCAAACCACATACCCTGTGGGAAGCCCAGGAAAAAAAGTGATACCCAGCAGCTTGCTTTCAGAGGGGAGGCAGGACAACACCAACAGAGCTGGTACCCACTGATAAGACTTATGCTCCCTGAACTTGTCCCATCCTCTCTTAAAGCCACCGGTGCCTCCTTTGGGAGCAGATTCCATAGTTTAACTATGTGCGGTGTTTTGTGGACGTCCACAGGTGCTTATGTGAAAGGGAGAAAAGCTTTATCTGCTTTCTGCATCATTTTGTACATCTCTTATCATGTCTCCTTTTATTTGCCTTTTCTGTAAAGTGAGAAGCTCAGAAAGTTGTAACCTTTCCATGCTGGAGAGTTGCTCCATGCTATTGATCACTGTGGTTGACCTTTCTTGAGTGTTTTGCAGCTCTGCAACATTCTTCTGGATGTGAGGCAACTGGAACTGTACACCGTATTCAAAGTGTGGACCAGGATTGGTGTTAAATGCTCAGAATGATATTTCTCTGCAAGGGGATTGCAAGGATATCAGGATAAACAACCAGGTTAGACCAAAAATGCAAGTTCAAAGCTTTATCATTTTATAAAATGTTATACAGCTTAGGATGTTATTGCTGTTGTGAAGAGAAAACCTGGAAAGTGGAACAGAAATTGGAATGAAGGAATTACTCTACAACAAACTAACCCTAACACACACACACACCAAGAAAAGGAAAAATACATACACAAAAAAGAGGATCCTGGCTAGGGAGTTTTCTAAAGATAGGAAAAACAAGTAAGGCAGGAGATTGAAGTGCTGAGGTCAAGTTTTGACTTTTGAAATGTCTATTGTTGAGTATTTTCAGAATTTCTTCTTGTGAATTGGTTCTGAATTGTCATTGATGGGAGACTTTTTTATATATGCACATTTCCTGGCAAACAAAAGTTGCCATCCCTATAGAATCCATAATGCCAATTGGCTTGAGAAAACAGCATTCTTCCCTGCCAAGATCCAGGTTTTGATCATCTTGATATTTTTATTCTTATTTTTATTTCATTTCTATACTGCTTCATTTTTTAAAAAAAACCTCAAAAGTGGTTTACTACCCACATTAAAACATGGCATAAAGCAATCCAGAATAAAACATTACAGAAGAAAGTACATCCAAAGCAATATCATTAACAGGATACTAAAATATTATCTAAAAGATTTCAAAGCAAAACATTAAATTGATGCAGTCTGAAGAATAGATGCGACCACCTGTCATGTAGCTGAGATTCCTGCATTGTAGGGGGTCGGACTAGATGACCCTCAGCGTCTTTTCCAACTCTGCAAATCTATGATTCTGTGAAAAGAGGTAAAGTACAGAATGCACATTAAATGCAGCAAAGTTAACGGGGGGGGGGGAATACTTTAACGTTTCAAAAGAAAACATGACTAAAGGAAGTCAAATATAAAATGCACATTTAAAAGCAAGAGAATATTCATGAAGATAGAACACATCTGCTGCTGTTGTTGCCAATCCTGCGAATGGTGGTTCATGGTGGGTGGTGACTGTGGAAGCCCAGGCTCAATAACCTGAGTCTTTACTAAGAAACAGCCAAACTGGTCTCTCCACATGCATAGGAACTTTTCTTAAAGTAGAGAAGAATTCAGATTGCCGGCATCACCTTTCTTCACCCTTCCTGTAAGCTAAAACCACTCTCAAATAAACTCTTACACACCTCCCACCTCTGGAATGTGGTTAGCTCAAACTCTTCCCAAGCTAAATCTCCTGCAGAAAGCCAAAAACTTCAAAAACACAGCTTTACTAATAATGAAAGAATTTGAGAGTTGGAGACATGTTTTAAAAGCATTAAATATGAATATATCAAACAAAAAGGCCTCTGACAAACATTAACTAGCACAGTTGCCAAATAAATAAGTTGGCCCTACAGCTTCTGCTTAGGGTTGCTCTTGTAAAGAGAACCCCCCCCTTCCCATTCTAAAACCCTGAAGCTGTGTTGTTAGGGACGCTTGGTTTTCAAGGCATTAAGGGAACATGAGAGAAATGTTCTGAATCACTCATGGTCCTCTTATCTTTGGAAGAGGCGCTTGCGCATGAAATAACAGTGTTATGCTCATTGATAGGATCTTGTTTGGGAGAGGGAGAAAGAAAGTTTGCAAAAGGTTTTGTTTGGGCAAGTGTACAGCTAAACATGCTGGTAACACAGAGTGGATTTAATTGGAAGATCTTCCCACTGTATTGTGATGTAACCAATGGAAGTTGGTTTCATGTATTTTAAATTTAAAGCACTATCTAAAGTATGTTCCTTTGTTAGATGGGGCTCTTCTCTCTTCATTGTGGCAGTGGGAGGGGGGAATCCTGCTACAGCAGTAAATAAAGATCACCCTCCTAGTTGTATTTTAATCATATCAGCTGAGCCTCTTCTAAAGACCATGAGTTGGAATCAACCATGTATTTGCACCCACAGAAGCCAGCGCAAGGACCCCTGCTAGTGCAACAGAACTATTCCTCCTCTCCTTCCCCACCACACCTTTCGCTTGCACACATACTGTGGGATGGGTTTTAATAGGTAGGTAATTGCAATTTATCCCTCCAGGCTCCCACATATGTGGGCTGAATAGTTTTAAAATCCCACCGTGGGCAGCAAAAATTAAAAGCATAGGAACAAGAATCTGTAAAATATTGTTTTAAGCAAGCCCAGCTATGAAGTAAACTGGCTCTCCCTTGCTCACCCCGCTTCACGAAGAATCAGGCCACAACTTGGGAAGTAAGTTTAAAATAAGATTTACTTACTTTAAAATCACTCATTTGTTCACAGCAATGACAGCTGTAAAAACTGTGCAGGCAAAATACCATATTTTTCTCTCTATAAGACGCACCAGACCATAAGATGCACCTAGTTTTTGGAGGAGGAAAACAAGAAAAAAAATATTCTGAATCCCAGAAGCCAGAACAGCAAGAGGGATCACTGCACAGCAATTCCTCTTGCTGTTCTGGCTTCTCAGATAGCCGTGCAAAGCCTGCATTCGCTCCATAAAACGCACACACACTTCCCCTTACTTTTTAGGAGGGAAAAAGTGTATCTTATAGAGCGAAAAATACGGTACTTACATTCACAGTATAACCACTTTCAGGCACGTACCTAAAGCTGGAGCAAGCACAGGGTACACCTGCCCTCATGGTTGGTCAAAGAAAGAGAGAAGAAAGAGGAAAAAGAAAGAAAGAGCGGGGAGGGAAGAAGGAACAGGAAGTACTATATGATCATTTCTCTCCAGGAGAGGAGGAGGAATGATTGAGCTCTCTCTATCAATTGTATTTCTATAGTCTGAGTATCTGCCTATCAGCAATACAGTTCTGTGGACTTAGCCCTTTCACATGCTAACTAGCAATAATACACATTTGTTAGGTTTGGCTGCTCCTACACATCTCCTACACATACCACCCCTATTTCCCTAATAATCACCCATCCTGAGAGGAGGAATCTGAGTTCTTCCATCCTATCGTTTGAGGATTGGACAATAAAGTTTTACTTTGTTTTCAATATATTCTGCAGCACCATCTACAGTGGCACCTCGGGTTACATACGCTTCAGGTTACAGACTCCACTAACCCAGAAATAGTACCTCGGGTTAAGAACTTTGCTTCAGGATAAGAACAGAAATCGTGTGGTGGCGGCGCAACAGCAGGAGGCCCCATTAGCTAAAGTGGTGCTTCAGGTTAAGAACAGTTTCGGGTTAAGAACGGACCTCCAGAACGAATTAAGTACTTAACCCGAGGTACCACTGTAATCCCTAAATGAGACAGCGCAGCAAGTAGAGTGAAGGGACCTGCACAAACTCACCCTCCTTCATGTGTGCACAAATGCCAAGATGAAAAAACAACAACAGTGCAATTCTAAAGCTTCCATAATCTTTAAATTACTGCCTGGTCCAATCCATTACGCAATCTTTCTGAGTCTGTACGTACTGGCGGAGGAAGAGGAGTGCAGGGGGAGCGCACTGCCCCCGGCAGCCCGATCCCGGTGGGGTGACATCGCGGCTGCCCCCCCCCGTTCGCGCTGGGCGCCACGCCCCCAGGACGTGCACCAGCCCCCCCGCCTGCTCTCTGCCCCCCCCGCCCCCAGTGCCAGAGCATGAAGCTTCGTCACTGTCTGTATGTCTCTGCTTCTGTAGAACCAACAGGGGCAGACAGTACTAGATGTTCCAAGCCCCAAATAACTATGAAGAGAAAGAATTGGGAAGTGAAACTGACCACCAGTACACTATGCCTCAAAAGTGGCAACGAAGAAAGTAAAAATAAACAGGGGGAAATAAACCAAGACCGCAACCCTATGCACATGAGAGTCAATAAACCTCACTGTATTTCTACAGAGGATTCAGATGCGGTGGAAAAGTTTATTTTTCTGCTAACAGCACATATGAATTACTTTGCTTTCTTTTGTATTTCAAAGGTTAGATTGCCCCTGAGATTCTCCCACCTCTTGCTATGAAGGTTTGATCATGTGGAACTGAAAGCAGAGGTGGGTCATTCTGGTTTGTGTAAATTTTGCTTTCTCATTACACTCTTTATGAAAATAAAAGCTGCCATAACCTTCCTGGAACAAGAGCCTCTCTCCAGCCAGCTGCTCCAAGTCAACATCACAGAATCTTAGCAGTTCATTATCACATGATTACTTCAGCTACTTAAGCAGCTATGCACACACTGTCTTTGTTTTGTTGTGAATGAATCGCTTTTCACATGCTTCAAGCTGATAGGTTTTGAAGCAATGCAAATAAACACTCAAATTGTATCAGAGAGAAGACATTTTGGACTTTTGCCATCAAAACAGGAGTGTCTTGTCACACATTAGAAATGAAAAGATTTCTTGTGGCAAAGGTTTTCATAGACTAGAATAGAACTTACCTCAATCAGTGTCAGGGACTGGCTGGAAGCTGAGAAATGGCTGGAAGGGCCAGCCAAGGAATCCTCAAGGGAAATCCCAGACTCAGAGCCTGGGGATTGGTGGAGGGACAACAAGAAGAGGTCAGAGGGAGAAGATTGGGAGGAGGTGCTGGAGGGACAACAGGGTTTAGTCAGCAAGAGGAACCAGACTCCAAGGCTGGAGGAGGAGGTGGGGTCAAGAGGCTGCTGAAGTATCCTGGGAGTCTCCCTCTCTGGCTGTGACCAGCTCCCTTCCCTACTGGTCTCCAAGAACATACAGGATAATGAGGACAGAACCGAGACTGGAGGTGCTCAGACACAGCTTGAGACTACTTGGGAAACATCTGGTAGACGAAGACTCTTAGAAGTCATGGTAGACAGAGACCTTCAATCCTAGCAACTCTATAGGTGCAACACCAAATGGGGAGTGTTGCTGAGTTGCCTACTGTTTCCTTGAATAGTTAACTTCACTGACAACTGATTCTGTTTCTTTGTGCTGACCTGCAACTGACTTCAGCCTTGACAATCAGGTAAATACAGTGCTATCCTCAGGTGGCAGATCTCAGCATGGATATAGAGAAAATAAAGATCTGGGAGTAAGTCTATGAGGCTTGAATTGTCTATCCACACCTCAGTTTTTTGCAAGGTAAGCACAGTGGCCATTTACAATAGTAACTGCAATAATATAATCTTCCTAGCTTTGCTATACCAATTTAACACCATGGTCTTGATTGACTGGGTCCTACATTAATAGAATCAAAACTACTGATCAATCAATTTCACACCGAAAATCTCCCTTAATTTTTTTTTCCAGTGCTGGGAAGTGTGATGGCTTTGAAGTGGATCTCGGACGGCTCATGCTCTCTCATTGGTTCCTAAGGCCAAACTGGTGGTCCTGCATAACATGACGTGAGAGATCTTGACTGGCTCCCCAACATCTTTTCCATTTTCTAAAAGCCATGGGGAGCCCAGCTGGGACCAGGGCCACGTCACCAGTGAAGCAGCTTGAATTATTTCTCCATGTACGCATGGGCATAGCCAGGATTTTTGTTGAGGGGTGGGGCAGCCAAAGTTGTTGAGCTTCTTTTAGGAAATCAAAGTTGGGAAATCAAAATACCCTATGAAGAGGACATTACAGGGGGCTGGCTTCTGCTGTGGTGGGTGGGGGGTAGCAGAGCCTCAAATAATTGAGTACTTTCAATGCTTTTCAATAATGTTTGTGGATCTGGGTGGCTACACCCATGCCTGTACAGATGATCCCCATAGTCACTATTACACAGGGCACTTGTCTTCTGCTCATATGATTTGCCCTCTATGAGTAATAACAGCTCAGAGGGGATTGTGATATGCATCTGGGAACTGGCTTGCAATGGTAGGATTTAAGGCCCCTCCCATAGTGCCACATCCCAAATCCAAACTATTCCAGGGTGAGTTTCTGGAAAGAAATAAGCACATACAGTGGTACCTCAGGTTACATACACTTCAGGTTACATACGCTTCAGGTTACAGACTCCGCTAACCCAGAAATAGTACCTCAGGTTAAGAACTTTGCTCCAGGATGAGAACAGAAATCGTGCTCCGGTGGTGCGGCGGCAGCAGGAGGCCCCATTAGCTAAAGTGGTGCTTCAGGTTAAGAACAGTTTCAGGTTAAGAACGGACCTCCGGAACAAATTAAGTACTTAACCCGAGGTACCACTGTATCTGGTTTTGGATGGTCCTCATCAAATTTCATTTGGCCCTCAACATTGCTGTTTTTTTATGTTGGATGTGTGACCATTTATATTTGAAAAATAAAGATTGCTGTTTTAACCTTGTGATTGACCTGCAGCATATGTCACATTAGAGATTCATGGGCCCCCGACAGTGATTGCTATTCAGTGCTGTAATAGAGTTGTCTGAGTGGATATGAGGATGAATCTGGGTTTGTTGCAGGGTCTAGGCTCATCTTAACCTTAGCTTCACAGTAACACAAATTAGTTCACAACTTAGGGGCTAATCAGTCTGGCAGGTAACGATGCTGAAGAAGTGAGGCTGGCAATGTTTGTGTTGCCAGTCAGTGTCTGCGTTATAACAGTGTGAGTAAATGTGCTAAACGTGATCAGTGCAGCTTTCTCACTCTTTCCTGGCTGTTCATTATAAGAAATAATGCCCATAAATTTGCAGTTAAGGGGGATATTGGGAGCAAGTTGCCAGTGTGAGTAGAGATGAAACCAAGTGTATTTAAGTAGGGGAAAAAAGATAAAAATACATTGCACTGATACAAGGCCGGCTTGCCTTTGTTATTGTGAACTGAATAAAGAACTTAACTATTGTTAATCACCATATATACATTGTTATGAGTTTGGGGTCTCAGTATGGATGATACCCTGGGTCCCTTCCATGTGATTCTCTGTATGTGGGGTAGAATCTACAACAAGAAACCAGCCAAACCAGTTCCTTTAAGTTAATGGCTTCCGCTGGCCAGTTAAGCACTGCAATTTACATGTCCAAAGAAGTTGCCATAGAGGCAAATGAGTGGGCCTTTCCTGACCTCACCTGGCTGGATGCCACATCATCCTAGGATAGAGTTACCATATTTCAAAAAGTAAAAAGCAGGACACCTCAAAATTGTTTAGCTTTCTTTTAGGAAACCACAAAAATCGTTGAGCTTTTTAAAGACACATCCAAAAGTTGTGATGTCCAAAAAGTTGCTCTGCTGGACTTTGGGGAGTGTTAATACTGTGAGCTCAGGTTTTACATATGTGTAAATAAAACCATATACAGTGGTACCTCGGGTTACAGACGCTTCAGGTTACAGACTCCGCTAACCCAGAAATAGTACCTCGGGTTAAGAACTTTGCTTCAGGATGAGAACAGAAATTGTGCTCCGGCGGCGCAGCAGCAGCAGGTGGCCCCATTAGCTAAAGTGGTGCTTCAAGTTAAGAACAGTTTCAGGTTAAATACGGGCCTCCGGAATGAATTAAGTACTTAACCCGAGATACCACTGTATAGTACTTCACTCCAACATAACTGAGCCCTGAGGAAGAATAGGATGCCCTGGCATCACTCGTTGCTTGCAGATTGGGGTTGCACTCAACAATATATTGTTGAGTATATATATAGCCTTGGGGATGCCACTGTCTCCAGCCAGACAGTGTGTGTGTGTTTGCATTCACACATGGCTGGTGCATATTTAGAACAAAAAGGCAAAGAACGAATGATACCAAATTATGCATGATGTGCAGAAAGAGACATTTCTCTCCCTCTCTGCTGTCACTAAAACCAGGGGTCAGCTGATGAAGCTGAAGAATGGAAGATTCAGGATGGACCCAAGAAAGTGCTCTTTCGCACACTCAAAGTATGCAAAGTATTGGTACAAGTTGTGGGGTGCCCACTAGCTTAGAGGACTTAAAAGGGGACTAGGCTAACTCATGGAGCTGGAGCTCAGCCTTTCGGGGGCTGCAGCTATCTATTCCTTTGGCAGAATCTGACGCAGGATTAGAGGTTGCACTGCCTGCTTTACGAGTCCACCCTCCTCTGTATTTGTAAGTAAACACATATCTGAAAGCATCCTTATCTCTGGATAAGGAAACTGACCTTGTGGAGGTAGGTAGAGCCAACTGTCTTTTAGCACTATGAATTAGGGCTGCAAAGCAATGTTTA